CGTCATGTTCGCTTCAAGCTGCCGGGCCGCCAGCCGCCATCTTGGCTGGCAGTTAATTTGCATATTGCCCTGATTAGCCAATGGGAAGGGTAGTGGACTTACGGCTAATTACCATGTTTCTCTTTTATTAGATAGGATATGCACTACCTATGCACACACACAATAGGATGGCAAAGGCCTAGGGTGGGAACTGGGTGAAGGGGAGCAATGAAGGGAATAAAGAGGGACATCTGTAATAATCTCAATAATAAAGATTAAAAAATTTTTGCAGTTTTTAAATATTAAGTCCATGTTTCTCTTTTATTAGATAGGATATGCACTACCTATGGACACACACAATAGGATGGCAAAGGCCTAGGGTGGGAACTGGGTGAAGGGGAGCAATGAAGGGAATAAAGAGGGACATCTGTAATAATCTCAATAATAAAGATTAAAAAATTTTTGCAGTTTTATTAAATATTAAGTCCTGTGCTGCAAAGACTCATCGTAAGATAGACCATTTATACTGATGAAAAATGATGCCTCTGGTTCTTCTAAGCATCGCATTTTGTCAGGAACCTGTCAGTTGCTTAGATCTAAAGAATATTATTTCTATGTGTAGCACCTACTCTAGGGGAACCCAAGTCAATGTGTAGAGAGAGAACCTCTATGTATAAGACCATGAAAGCCAGTTGGGCCAATCACCAGAGAGAGGCTTGAGGGAAGACTACTTCGGTGATATCTACACCATTACAAACTCTGACAGTCAATATCATCTATACCTCAGGCATTTCAGGTTAATCATGTTCTTTATTTCCAGGAAGGGAAGGGGAATTTTAGGGTGTCTTACTACTTCAAATATTTAAAAATTAGATAGAATGAAGGTGAGGACTCTGAGACCCCCAGCAGCTTTCAGCTAGAGACACTTGCAGTGAGTTTGAGAATTCCTTTAACTCAATAGATAGGACTTTGTTTTGCTGGGGCAGTGGATGAGCATGCGACACAGGTTGAAGATGGGAATTCATATATAAATTTAAACAGTACAGTAAATCTTAATGTTGATCACATTTGTTAAGTGGATTAAACATTTCTAAGAAATAAGAAAACATGATAATTATTTGGGTAGGAACAGAAACTTGAGTAAACAGGAGAGATTTTGAGATTACTGTTAATAGTCATATCTAACATCCTAACAAATCGCCATATCTCAGTGTCTAGAAAATCAGTCCTGCTAATATCAAAAGCCACTTTAGCTAAAGAAATCATTTGTGGGGAAATCTTGATAACCAACTTGGCCTGTACCCTTTTAATTCTGAAGGACCTAAAGAAGTGGCGTTCAGGACATTACATGAACAAGCATGTGCAGCCCCTACCCATGAGTACTTTTCTTACCTAAGCAAACTTCTCAAAAGAACTTTCCTAGCAAGGAAGTGTGGTGAATGGCAAACATGTACCACTGCTATGTTCCGCGCACTTCCTGCGAATACTCTCTCTCCTCTTTCTCGTTCTTCAGGAGCCGCGAGGACATCCGAATAGTGTCCACCACCTCACCTCTACGTCACCCTTTTCCCTTTAGTCCAGGACCGACACACCTTTCTCCACAAGGTCCTGCCTGCTCATTTTTTGCCTTCCCTCTAGTTATCTTACATCAGGGGTCCTCAAATTTTTTTAACAGGGGGCCAGTTCACTGTCCCTCAGACTGTTGGAGGGCCGGACTATAGTTTAAAAAAAAACTATGAACAAATTCCTATGCACGCTGCACAGATCTTATTTTGAAGTAAACAAACAAAACGGGAACAAATACAATATTTGTATTTGCATGTGGCCCGCAGGCCGTAGTTTGAGGACCCCTGTCTTACATGATACTATGAGACCACAGGTCCAAAAAAGAAAGTGCAACTTATTTCTATGCTTGAAACGTCTGCCAACACCCATGGCTTACAGAAGTAAATCTTAGCTCTCTAGCTTGGTATCATGGGGCTCTATAATTCAGGTCCAAATTCCTTACCAGCTCACCTTTCCTCCACTTGCCACCCCACGTTGCTTCTGAGTTCTCGCTCAAGCCACACAGGTCTTCAGCTTTTCAGAAGATAACTCAGCCACTTTCATCTGCTGATTCCTTAAGTTTCTGAAACGTCCTTCTGCATATAGCACCTGCAGAACCCACACCTACTTTAAAATCCAGTTCAAATGCCAGCACTTTCTCCATTTCTCCTGCCAAATAACATCTTGTGGCCAGATCTGTGGGGTTCCCACACTACCCTGACATGCCTCTACTACTTAATGTCTATCTTATAACATCACCCGGCTCCCGGCTCTTCCTACTAGAGATTATGAACATCTCTGAGGCAACAGTGACCTTTACATTCTATGCTACACTCCCCCAAAACCTGCTTCAAAATAATTGTTTCCTGACAGTAGCTCAGTTAATGCTGGCTGCAAAAACGTATGTCCTCGGTAGAGTGATGCAGACAGCCGGTGCGCCCCCACAGGGAGCATCACACTGCGTGATAATGTTAGACTTCAGTCTCTCTGGGCCTCAGAACTGAGGGAATCTGAATAACTCATCTTTCATACTGCCACCCCCAAGCAAAAAGCCTAGGACAGTGACGGTGAACCTATGACTCGCGTGTCAGTGACACGCGAACTCATTTTTTTGGTTGATTTTTCTTTGTTAAATGGCATTTAAATATATAAAATAAATATAAAAATATAAATCTGTTTTACTATGGTTGCAAATATCAAAAAAATTTCTATATGTGACACGGCACCAGAGTTAAGTTAGGATTTTTCAAAATGCTGACATGCCGAGCTCAAAAGTTTCGCCATCACTGGCCTAAGACATGGGAGGCTCTCAATGAATATAAATATCTACCCCGGCGATAGAGGAACTCCCAGTTTAAAGGGGTCGGGGGGGAATAAGAAACCTCACAGGGAATGAATAGAGTGCCTTTTCGTGTAAGGAGGCATTCTGATGAGTATTCTACATTCTCACAGCTTTTTGAAATTGCTGAAGGAACCAAAGCCTAAAGATTCCACAGTAAAAAAGAAAGCTAAGCAAGTAGAGTTTAAGTCAAGTTTATGCTTTTTACACTAATCCACACTGCCTGCCCAATGAACCTTGAGAAGGGAAACGAACTGAAGCCAATGACAGTGAGGAGAACAAGCAAAGTGGTACACTATTAAAGAGACAGAGGATGCACGTTTCCAGGAGAGAACAGCCAACAATACTAAAAGCTGCAGCAAATGTGGACTGAAGACAGGTCTCTGAATTTGCCAACCAAAAAAAAGATGTTTCTCATCGGTTCCTTCACTAGATTACACATAAGCCCTTCGTGCCCCCACCTCTGCTCCTGCCTCAACATCCAACCTACTTTTACACATTCCACCGACACACACTGCCATGGAGGTGGAAGAAAGCAGGCTTTGACCTT